GTTACTTTCTCGGTTTAAAAAGTTTTCCAAGGTCAAATACTCAACTACAGGTGTGCAGCATTTAAAGCCCACAGCAACCTCTGTAAACAACTTATGAAGGAAGATAAATTTGGACTCACGGTTTTGGAGGTTCAGTGTAAACCGGGCAGCCCCGCTGCTCTCGCATCCAAGTGGCAGTTTTTGCGTGCAGTCCTCAGGCAGCGCGGAGCACCTCATACTGGAGTGCAGGTCTCTGTCGAGCCTTGTACAGCCCCTGTTATCCAATCAGGGGATTCGTCCAACCACTGAATCCAATTTGCTTAAAGGCCCCACCTTTAACCACCATGTGGGATTGCTTCTCCCTCCACCCCCTGCCACTCCTAATAAGACCATTAGAAAATTTAAACAAGCCAGCCTATAGCACAATGGCCTTTGAGGATTAAACTAAACATTCAAGCCACAATTGATAACTACTCTGAGGGGGCTACTGCTCATTTCAACTTCTCTTCTAGTCAGCACTTTTCATGAAGACATTGGATTTTAGACTCTGACTTTATTCTCATAAAGCTGTTAAAATCCAAGACTTGAGGAAGCAGCCTTTCCAACATGAATAATGGCTGAGCTGAAAGGCAACCCATTGAAGAAGCAATCATGACTCCTGGATTTTATTTTTTTTGGTTCTGGAGCTACTAAGCTAGTTTCAAGTAATACATTTTCCTATCATGCTTATCTTTAAATACTTCTTGGAAAACTGTTTGAGCATATTGTAAGGGATGGGAAAAGGTGGAAGAGAAAATGATTATTGAGTGATTTACAATGTACAACATTTGCCAACTCCTTGTCAACATAGCAAGGCCAGATGGTTTCCTTATATTTTTTTCCCCCGCCAATATATGTTATCTGACAATATACTGCTAGAGGAAGGAGCTGATTTATATACTTTGATACCTTCTTTAGAAGCGAACAAGGCTGCTAACAAGAACTTCCACCATTTCCATTTGAATCAGTGGCTCTGGCACAAGCCCATGAACGGATTTCAAGACGGCGGGATTGTTTGTAGAGTAGGTGCCAGCTCTTATTAACAGGGTGCCATATTCTGTGAACTCCTGCAAACTGGAAATCATACTAGCAGTAGCACACTTTTCAGCTGAGATGCTAGCTGAAGCCCCAGAGCTGGGTTTATTCACCACAAAGTCAGAAATTTCCATGGTTGGGTATTTTGATACTGACATGACAATGAAAGAGAAGCCCAGGGAAGAATCTCATCCGGTGAAAGCAAACCATGTAGCCAACAGAATTTTCCTCACCCAAAATTCAAGTCTTTTGTATCCTTTAAAATCCGACCTTCCTACAGAGTGATGTGGCCTTTTTTGAGCTTTACTTATGTGCCTGGTCTCTGGCCAGGGAGCAAAGTAAGACCAACAGCTGCGTTTTCCTCCCCAAAGGTGATCCCATCTCAGGGTAGCGGAGGTGGGGGCGGCAGACAGGAAACAGGAGGGAGGGCTTTGTGTAAGCAAAGCCGTTGGCCTGCTTGGGAGTCCCAGATTCGTGCCTGCACGTTATAGCTTCTTTCAAACAGTGACAGTAGGTCACTAACGAAATAGCCTACTAAAATCATGAATCTTAAAGAGCAACGAAACCAGATTCCCTCCCCCAGCTCTACTCCTTTTGCAAAGTACTAGCAGTGTAAGGTCCAGAAACATTTAAAAAAGAAAACCTTCCCAGGTGATTTTGATTCAGTTCCCATACCTTTGTAGTGGTAAGGCAACAGGAATGAATTAGTTATTCAAAACTCTAATGTATACCTATTAAGTAGGGATAATAATCCTTTCTACTTTGTAACAGCTAATGGTTCTATAACTATTAGCTATTGTGCCAGACCCTGTCCCGAGAGCTTTCTGTGATTTTTACATAATCCCACTTTCAGACAAGAAATTGATTCAGTTAGATTAAGCAATTGTCGAATGACATAGAAACGCTGGGATTTAAGTGAGGCACTTATCTAGAAAGATCCTGCTCCAAACCATCAAACATTGTAAAATAATCCAGTAACACATGTGAAGACCATTTGATTTTGAAACTTTAAAGGTGTTTGCAGCAGTGATTGAATTAAGCTCTAGATGGGGAAGACTGCACCTGTAGTACTGGCCACTCACAACTTCACTATAGGGACTTAATCTGATTCTTGCCTATTTCTCAAATGCCGACTTGAGCCTTTTGAAATATCACAAAGTGTTTCTCCCCCCTACCCCCCAGACTTATTTTCTCCATCTGGGTCTGCCACATGCCTACAGCAGCCCAATGACTTGGGTCATCTTCTGCTACTTTCTTCATTAACATTAGCAGAGAGCTGCACTGAAAGTAGAGCAGCCAGGACATACACTGGTGCTCAAATAGGATGCTGGTGTTTCAGAGGTAGCTTAACCTGTTAACACAATGACAACCCCAAATGGACTTTAACTCTAAGAATTGTTTGTAGAGATGCCTCACTCAAGGCTTGTCATCCAAGTGATAAATTAACTAAATGTTAGTTAAATTGAACACCTCCCAAATCTAACAGATTTTGAAAAAGTGCTAGTCATATTCCACAAAGTGGCTTACATACCAAGTATTTAGGATGTCAAGAGAGGCTGGGCAAGGGAATGAAAGGAGAAATTATACAAAACCTTTGGAACTGAAAGTACTGGTTATATATCCTTGAAATCCTCTATCCTGGTTTAGCAGGGAAATGGGGAAACAGGTTTTGGGCTGCATACAAGTCTATTCTTTATTATGTTCAGGTGGGGTGAGTGTTGTTGTAATCAGGCTGCAGCTGGGGATACCTGTGTCCCATCACAGAGTGCCCCCTCCATCCCTGCTGATGTCCTTTGGGGCAGCTGCAGACGGCTCAGGCACTCTCACTCCGGGTGAGAGCAGCCCCAGAACAAACCAGTCTCTCAGTCTCCCGCAGAAACATGAAAAAATTATGCTCAGGTGAATTTGTGGAAGCAAATTTCCACTATTCCTTTAACCCCTAAACCTTTTAGCAAGCAATCAAAAGTAGCTTGGAAATAAAACAAGTGTTATTGGCACTTGAGACAAAAGTTTTCCTGAGAATTTAGCTTGTATTCCTGGCATCAAATCTAGTAAAGCATGAGACTCACCTAGAGTTCAACAAAATGTTACCCTCAACCTGCTCAAATTTCAACCAGTATTTAAAGACCAGATACAAAATGCAGATCTCCCACAATCCCCAGGAATTTAACAAGTAGCTGAGTAATCTGTAATGTGGCACAATCCAAACCTAGGGCAGGCAAAGAACTCCCTGTGAAAAGTCTGTGAGACTCAGTTCCCCACTGATGAGCCAATGGCTCAGCTGGCCTACACAAAAGCTGAACTGCTACAAAGTCACCAACTCAGTCTTGGGTTAAGTCCACACAACTCGAACTCAGTCTCTCTCCTGAACACATCTGTAATACGTTGCTCACACTACATCATTGTGGAAGGGATTCTTCAACTCTTGAGCATTTTGCTTTCAGAGCACTGAGGGAGCCAAAGTAGTGGCATGGCACACTAATCCTCAGCATGCAGCATTGGCATCCCACATGGGCACAGGCTCAAGTCCTGGCAGCTCCCTACTAATGGCATAGGAAGGCAGCAGAGGATGGCCCAAAGCCTTGGGCCCCTGCACTCATGTGGGAAACACAGCACAGAGGAAGCTCTTTCTCTTCATCTCTGTGATTTTCAAATAAAATAAACCTTAAACCTCCCCCCCCCCAAAAAAAAAAAACCAAGGAGCAGTGTCAAAGGAAGCCGGATCCTTGTGGGAGGAGGAAAGCAGAACCCACTGGAGAGCAGCAGTGTCTGCTGGCACAGGCCCCGAGCCAACCCATGACCCATGTGAGAACATGGTGAGTGGCTAGTTTTAACCTGCAGTCCAGGTGGAAGAGACATTGTAAGGGACTAATTGGTCAACTCACAAAAATAGAGGGCCTGTGTGAAAAAGCCAAAAGAAAGCTCCCACACAGCACTGTAGCAATGTGCTTGGAATGCATCAGCTGGAAAAGTTTTAGAAAAAGAGCATCACCCCACCCTCCTTCATCAAATAATCCAAGCCATCTTGAATGTTCAAAGGCTGACCAAGAAAATGTCTTTTATTAAAAACCTTTTCAACTTGAACTAGATAATATCTTTAGGAACAAACAAATTTTATTCGACATATAAGTACAAGTACAAGGGACTAGTACTATACTTTGTATAGACTGTTTTTCTAGATTAATGTAAAATGTTGGAAAAAAGGATATCAGATAAGGTAAAAGGATTTATTATTCAGAATCAGCTCCAAGTCTGACACCGACACAAGGCAGGAATAATTATTATCTCATTACATTCGACCTTTGGCACCCATTTGAAGTACTAGTTTTACAAGAGGGACATGCTATGCCCAGTAGACTTTTGGCAGTTTCCGACAGTCACATTTACCCCAGTTTCACTCACTGGTGCTGCTAAATGTGCAGGGACAAAAAAAGAACAAGTCATGTACTTATATTGATGATTTTCCTTTCCATGATTTTTTTTGAACCTGCACAGGCTTTAAAAGCAGAAGAAAGGGTGTTGATCACATACAACACCTTCCAACAGCCCTGCACTAAAAACAAAGCATCAGATGTGGAATCAGTCATTTTAAAGCTCCCCTGTGTTTATTCTTCTCTTTGGATTAAGCCAGGGAGAATTTATACTTAATTGATCTATGTGGTTCTTGCTGTTGTAAGATGAAAAGAATTAAAGAGCATCTTTTACGAATGGATTTTTCAAAACCATGACAAGATCAGGAATAAAGTCTACATAGTCCCCAAGTGTTATGACCGGAAGGGGATCCTTCCAAGTACACAGCACACAGAAATCGCATAAAGCTACCAAGGCAAAGAACACAGAACAAGTGTTCCTCTGGGGATGATCAATACATAATTGTTTCCTAAGGGAAGGAGTGTTTAAGATATTTCACCCAGTAATTAATTTAGCTTCAGTCTATATATTCTCTGTATTAAATATCTAGAGGAAGTTCTATAGCTTTTGCCTCAGGCCTATTCTAAAAGGTTAGTGCTTTCATGTACACAAAGAGAAAGCTGTATTTTTCAGGTATGGATTTTTAGTTCAGAGCGATCATCTTTTATAAAAATATCAGCAGAAAATCCTTCCTTTTTAAAGTCTGATGTCTGCTTTTTATGCAAGTTACAGTGCTTAGAGAACTGAAGAGTGCTCAAGTCAAATTCCAACTTTCCGTGTGTGTTCACCAATTACAAAGCCTCTTTCTCCAGTAAACAGCAAAATCAAAACTGCCTATGGAGAACCATGCTATTGGTAACATAGTGGATTCCTTGGTAAAAACAAAACAAAACCAAACAAATATAAAAACCATGGAACCTTAAAATCTCATGGGAGGCACTTGAGAGAAGATGAATACAAGCTCTATTGTTGTTCTAATTTCTCCAAAGAGCTGACATTTATCACTGCATTTAAATAAAGATGACTTTAACTTAAGAGACTATATTTTAACACTGAACCAAAAATGTACTTATCCGAACATGACATTTTAAACCACACTGTGAAAAGAAAACACAAAAGCATAGTGAAAAGATTATGTTTCAAATAAAGTTTTATACTTGCTTGTGGCTGACCCTCGAGGGGTCTAAGAAGGGCCTCACAGACAGGCCTGTGCTGCTTCTGCAGAAGGCTTCCGTGTGTATCAAGTGTTAGCCTAACAACTCTTCACTTTCTATCTGCAAAAGCTGAGGTGTCTTGTTTAAAAAGTGAAAACCATTTACTCATAATGCTACAAAATGGCAAATTTACGTTATGAAATTTAAACCCAGCATTTGCCCTGAAGAATGCTGTGTGTAACAACCGGTACAAGAGGCAGATCAAGTGCGCTTCAGAGCTGAAAGGATTTTATCTAAAAATGAAAACATGGCAGCTTTCTTAAAACAAAAACAATACAAAGAGAGTCACATTGCTGCTGTTTTCATCTTGTTTCAGTGGACCAGGATTCAGTTGACTCATTCAGACTAGTAATTATAATTCCGTTGAGTGTTCAGGACTACAGAAGTCATCTTGGGACTTTCTATGGAAGTAAGTACAGATTTTCCTCATGGAGTTGGGAGTAATAGTGACCTAGAAGAACAAAGTTGAGATTTCAGAAATTTCCCAAGATAAAAGTTCAGCTACTACCTCAACAATTAAAATTAGAAGCATAATTGAAAATACCTAGAAATTTAGTTATTTCGTCAACCAGCATTCAGCTTCAAATACCTCTAATGGCAATGTCTTTTTTTGCCTGACTTGTACAGAATATATGTTAACATTTAATAGATGGTGTAGAAGGCAGAGACTTTAAGTGCTCAGTTAAGCAAAGAGGTTGCAATGATTATTTTCTGTGGCATAAATAAGTCAACCTCTCCAATTTACAAGTAATAGCTATTTAAATAGTAGCAGCTACTGTCGTAAGGTCTGCATTTACATCATATAAAGCCACCATTAATGTTCTTCAAAGTTGATTTTGGCCAATAATATATTCTTGATACTACCCAATTTTAACATTCTATAAGCCAATATAATAGGAATCCTACTGAGATAAATGGAACTATGCTGACTACTTAGTAACAGAATAGATGTAAGTTCTAAAAACATCGATATGGGCAATGTGACTAAATATTGAGAGCTCATAAAAACCTAGCAATTGCTTTGTAAGTACTCAAGTTTCATTGCATTTTAAATAATCATAAAATACAACTACAAACTGGAAATCTACTTATAGATGTTGGCTTTATAAAAATAGGATGGCACAGTCAGACAGGAGAGGAACTACATTTTTGAACTGACATCCTGCAACATGAGAAAGGTTTACTCAGGCAACAAGGCCCTGACAGGTGGGCTTTTAATGGGAGTAAACAGGGCTGCCAGATAAAATACAGCATACCCAGTTATATTTGAATTTCAAACTTTTTTTTAACCTTGTCTTGTATTATTATGTGCTAAATTTGGTAACCCTGGGTATAAACATTTACTTTTTTTCCTTGAACATTCTGACTCATGAAGAGATATGTGTCTTTCCCTTTCAAGTTAGGCGATATGCCTTCCCACCACTGTTGCCTTACCGGGCCCGGTGATGTCTTTCCACTCTGTCTTTTGGCACTGGGTGTCTGGGATGATGGACTTCGCGGAGAGGAATTCTCTGCTTTCCGTTTGGCTGCCATAGCCAACAACCAGTTTTTATTCTCTGGGGAGCTGTTCTCTTTGCCTACCATTTCAGACCCTTCTCCACAAGGTCTCAAGGGGAGAGGCAGTGTTCCACAACTTTCTGAAATGAAAGGACTGACAGGGGAAGGAGGCTCAGAGATACTTGTGCTAGCTCCTTCCATCTTGCTGGATTTGGCAGGACCCAGAGTGTCTTTACCAAGGTCTTCCTGGTTACTAGAAAGGCAGCACAGATCCAAATGAAGATTTTCAACTTGGCCATCCAGCTCCGTCACACAGTTGCAGCTCTTCACACACTTTTGTTTTACACTCTCTAGACAGCTGGAGTCGAGCCTTCTCTTTACTCTGTTTCTAGACTCAGAACAAGTCTCTGCCTGGGATGATTTCTGGCTCACAGGAATGAGAGCTTTGCGTGGAGATGTGGTCTTGGTCTCTGAAGCAGGTGGAGTGATGGGAGGAGACGAGGAAGGTGTTCGAGTCACCCAGTTTCTAATAGACATCTTAAAGGACGGAAGTGGCTTGGGAGACACGGAGACAGAGCCTCTTCTGCTGATGGGAGACCGGGTCTTCGCAGGAGGGGTTTTGATAGAGAACGTGGGAGTATTGGAAGGCAGAGGGAGGTCTCCAGCACAGCTGGGAGCACAAGCTGCAGATGACGGGGAGGAGACGGATGGACTGCTCTTGACCCTGGGGGCTTTGGCAGGAGTACTCTGGTTACTTGTTACTGTTGCTGAAAAAGAACAGAGGATCATGTCAGGGCTGAGAAGTGTATGAAATCCCTGAATTCTCATCAAGAGAAACGACAGCTAACTCAAACATCCAAAGATTGAATTGCCAGTAGGTAGTTTATGTAAATTTGATTCCTGCCACATTGTTTTAGCTTTTTCTTGACCCTTTCCTGTCATCCTGCTACGAAACACAAACCTGTAAAAATCTAGAAAATGTAGAAAAGTACAAAAAAATTTCAAAGCACTCAGGTAAAACCAATGTTAGCATTCTTTCTGTATTTGTGAACATACATTATACACCTAAAATTTTTCAATACAAAGAATATAATGTATATGCTATTTATTAAGGTTGAATAATAATCTACTACATACATGTATCTATGCATCCACTGAGGGACACACAGGTTGATTCTGCATCTTGGTAACTGTGAAAAGCATTGCAGCAAATGTGAGAGGGCAGACAAATCTTCCACATACCACTATCACGCCTTTGCATGCACACCTGAAGTGGAATTGCTTTATCATAATTTCATTTTCAGTTTTGAGAAACCTCTGTAGTGTTTTGTTACTAGTTGCACTAATTGGCATTCTCATCACCAGCTTCCCTTCCTGCACATCTTTACCAACACCTGTTACTTCTTGTCTTCCTAAGAGCCATTCTAACCAGTGTGAGGCGATAACTCGTTTTGGTTCTACTTTGCATTTCCTTGATGATTAGTGACACTGAACATTTTTTCACATACTTATTGGTCAGTGTATGGCTGAGAAACACACTCAGGTCCTTTGCCTCTTTTCAAATCAGGAGTAACTTGCTTGATAATAGATCTTGAATACTTCCCATAATGTAGATTTACATGATCACTTTTAACAGCTACAAATGTATGAATGCCCCACAACTTAGCCCTGCGTCAAGGAAGTCAAGGATTCTAATATTAAAACTGTAAGGTTGTTAATGACATTCCAGTTTTCAAAGTGCAGGTGAATCGGCATTCTTGTATATATCCCGAGGGATATTGTGCAAGGAGGCATGAACTGCACACAGTTCTCAGAAAAGCACAGGCTTCAAACTTGGCACATTCACTCATCTCGTGACTTATACCCAACTGGTATCCCCTCGGATTTGGTATCTATTTTCTTCCAAATTTTAAAGATTTATTTTTATTATTTTTTCATTGGAAAGGCGGATATACAGAGAGAGGAGAGACAGAGAGGAAGATCTTCCGTCCGATGATTCACTCCCCAAGTGAGCCCAACGGGCCGATACTATGCCAATCCGAAGCCAGGAGCCTCTTCCGGGTCTCCCACGCGGGTGCAGGGTCCCAAAGCTTTGGGCCGTCCTCGACTGCTTTCCCAGGCCACAGGCAGGGAGCTGGAAGGGAAGCGGGGCTGCCGGGATTAGAACCGGTGCCCATATGGGATCCCGGGCGTGCAAGGCGAGGACCTTTAACCACTTGCGCCACCGCGCCGGGCCCCGGTATCTATTTTCTTTTTTTTTTTTTCCTTTTTAAAAATTGATTACATTGCATTATGTGACAGTTTTATAGGCACTGGGATTCCCCCGACCCCTCCCTAAAACCTCACCCCATGGTGGAGTCCTCCACCTTGCTGCATTACCACAGTTCAAATTCAGTAGAGATTCTTTCATTGCAAGCATCTACCAAGCATAAAGTCCAGCATCTTATTGTCCAGATAATTCAACAGTTTCTTGGGGAGACCATCTCTGGTCTGAAGGTAGAGCCAGCAGATTATCATCCCGATCAATTAAAAGCTCCAACATTACATCGGTAACAATTTATAACATTATGGAATTAGCTGACATGGTATTGAGTAACCAATATGTTAAGAGATAAAAAAAGAATGCAAGTTCTGAACCACACCCTGTGACTTCTACATTGACATTTCAATTATTAGTTTATATACAACCGGGTTCTATACACCTTAAAATGGCTATGGATTACTATTCAGCTGCCTCATGTCTATTTTAATTTTAGTATTTAGCAGTTTACAGTGTTGAAGCATGATTTTGCTGAACCTGGCTGTCTTTCGGGTAGTCTAACTCTATAACTCTAACAAGACATGTCAGCAATTTAGGTGAACAGTTTTATTGGTATCTACTTTCAATGGAGGTAGCTGTTATAGTCCTATGACCATCTTATATGAACTGCTTACTAAGGTGATCAGGCCTTACATGGCTTCTTCTGCAGCTTACAAATGATCACTGCTTCCCATAAGCCAAACAAAGCCAAGAACATTCAGAATATCAATGCTTTCTCTCTGGAAAAACAAAGTCAAACTTAGTGAATGTCTCTGTCCTTGTGTTTACATACAATGGAAAGTGCTTCAGAAAAATCATGACAAATCTTTAGGCCCCAGCACAGACAGCACTGTATTTTATTATTTTCCTTTTGTGTTTTCTAAAACAGTGTTCCTGCATTAAAATAACAAGAAAAGGCATCTTAGTTATGTGAACTGTAATTCTAGTATTTACTAGGGTGTAATTACTGAACTGTATTTATACAAAAATGAGTTTACGAAGGGTTGGAAGAAGAATGCAAGAAATCAAAAGTTTAGACGTACTAATTTTCAATTAGTTAATTATCCTATCCTTTTTAGTAGTCAAGCAGTCTCATTCTGAGATAGTTTGACTCTTGCCCAAACTCTTCTCATCTAGGCAAAGTGATACTTGTTTGTCAGTTAACGATCATTACCAGAAAACCCTACTGTGTCACAAAGTCTATGGAAAGGATCCCGGTCACAGAGCCTTCCCTTGAAGTTTTAGAACCGACTGTTGTTACTATTTCAGAATGAAAGAAAGGTTTTCCTTTGTTGAACTCAGATAGGTCAACAGTCACTGTATGATGCCACAGATACTTGGTTCCATTATGTAGAACATTAAAAGCAGAAAGTCCTACAACAGTCAGTGTCTTATACTACACCGAGTCTAAGAGGAGAAGGAAGAGTTGGACTAGCGACAGATCACTGATTTCCAACATTGTCATGGCTCAAATAGGAGGTCTTTACAAAGAGTCACTAGAGATCTGATGCATTTCAAGGTTAGGGTGTGTTCTCTTCCTTCAGAACATTGTGATTGTGGGGATTAAAGAGAAGTTTTTAGCTTGGAAAATTAGCAAAATTTGATCAAACGTATCAATTACCCCTCCTCCCCACCTTTGAAAGGCAGAGTCTGGTTCACTCCCCAAATGCCCACCAACAGCTTGTGTTGGGCTAGTCTGTAGCCAGGAGCTGGGAACTTAATCTGGGCTTCTCACACAGGTCTCAGGGACTCATGCTGAGCCATGACCTGCTTCCTCCTAGCGTGTGCATTAGCAGGGAGCTAGAACAGGAAGGGGGCTTGGACTGAACCCATATGGATATCCCAAACAACATCTTCACAGCCATGCCAAAGGCCTCTCCCCTTTCTTTAAATCAATAACTAGGTAGACAGATAAAAAAAATGCTGAAGTTAATTGTAGAGAAATTTAAATATAGAGGGAAAATAAGAATAGAGAATTTAAATATAGAGAAAAAATAAAAATCCATGCCCATCTTTCATTTCACTCATTCTGTGCACTTCATAATCCATGTTTATTACCATATGCAAAAGTATGTTTATTACATCTTAGAAAAGCAAAACAGATAACATTGTCTACTCCTACATATGCTCTGCAATTTTGCTTTTTCCCTCTTAGTTCACATGGATGCACTGCATTCCTTCTAATGGTTGGACAGTATGTCCACTGGCCTAGAATTAAATATGACATGCCATTTTATGTTACTCACTTAGATCGATCCCTTACTGACATAAATTGGTGGGTAAGATCTGATGACATCGTAATGTAGACTGGGTGACTGTCCTGAAGGCTTCCATCAAGTCCGCGCTCCTGCGCAAGGAGGAGACACATTCTGCTTCCTGCACAAGCTGTGCACAGCCACAGCTCAGCTTTCGTCCATGAGATTTTCTTACCAAGACTTCCCTTCTTTGCCAGGCAACAACTCTCTTGTTTCAAGGCACTAGTGACAATGTTAATTCCAACAGAGAAGCATTAACCAACTTCTTTCTTTTCCCATGGAGTTCCCAGAAACAATGAGCTCCGAGATCTTTGTTAACCAGCTGGGAGAAATATTCACAACGTGCCATCATTTTTGCATCTGCCTTCTAGTCTGGAGCGCAGGTGACGTTAACCCTAACCCTAACTCATCCACAGGTCTAATGCCCCCACAGTGCCTAGCAAGGACTTACTAAACACTTTATTCCTAAGAGGAGGAGAAAGGGTGAAGTTCTAGGCATTAGAACACTGACTCTGTAATAATCTTGCTGACGCTGACTGGTGAGGCTGAAGCAAGCATCTGCGATGGAAAGAGGTAAGAATAATTATCTTCGTCAACAATGCCTAAATTAAAAATTCTTGATCTTGGATGCATAACAGACTTCCTTGGAACTTTATATATAAATAACACAGGTCCTTGGCTCTCACCTCAGAGCTATCGGATTAGTCACTAGGGGTACATAATCTTTAAAAAAAAATCCTCCACAAGTGTTTCTAATGCACTGTGGCAGAGCAGATGTTGGCTGGGAAAAGTAGGGCAGAGGGAAAAGAAGCTGGGCCTTGGCACATCAGGTCTTCCAGCTACTGTGTTAAAAGGAGCAGAGGAGAAAAAATGCAGCCCAGGATAGCAATGAAGGCTTGAAGAGGCAATTAGAATCTTGGAAAAGCACAGGCACAGAATTCTCAAAATGGCAGGAGGGTCAGCAGTGGCCAATCTATTGCTGGAAGTTTCACAGAGGGCCAAATGACCTGTGTATGAGCTTTTGGTACCCGAGTGAAGTTCTAGTGCTCTGCAGAGTAATCTTAGCATCACCCAGAAACGGAGGACTCAAGGTGTAATTAGAATGTAAATTTAAATTTAGCTGGGAATATGAACTCTTTTGCATGTTAGGCTTTGCTAAAGAGAAAGTACTGCAGAATGGCTCTGATCATATGTCAAACTGCAGGGGTTCGAA